CGCCTTGACAACGTACGGGAGAGACGGTCCCAATTTTTCCTTTTCCGTGATGTACTTCTCTGGGTCCGTCACCATCCCGTATTTTTGTCGGTCCCAACACCACCGAAGCTTGCGACACTGTTGCGAGACCTCGTGGCGAGTATGTCGGTTGATACCCAACACTCTGCCCAGAAATATCCGGTTTGGGAAGATTAGCGTTCATAAGCACCGGCTTGTGATGATGTTAGTACGGGTTCCTTCTTGAACCTCGGGTTCGGAGACCATGTTGACAGCATGGCTAGTATGTCCGTTAAGCGGAGCGTGAAATTACTTGTTGTATATGCGTGATAGCTGGTCGAAGGGAGGGAGGCTGACCGCGCGCGCGTACATCTTGTAATGATCGCTAAAACAACTGGTTCACACGTTAAAGCAGGCGCCGCCAACCCTCTGTTGGCAGGGAAGGGGCGGCGCAGGAACAGGGACGAGGGGAGCGCGGCTAATGAATCCGACGCTCCAACACGGCCCAAGAGGCCTCCAAGACCACCCCAAAATGGCCCAAGAGGCCTCCAAGTGGGCCCCAAGACGGCCTCAGAACGCCCCAAGACGGCCCAAGATGCGCTCAAGACAGCCCATGAGGGCCCCTAGACGGCCGAAAAGGAGTCCAACAGAAGGAACACGAACCGATAGTCCGCGCCTTCCCCCCGAGAGGCCCCCAGGAGGCCCCCAAGAGGCCCACCAGCGGCCTCCCTCGAGATCCGAACGAACTTCCAATAGGCTTCATAGCCACAAACCAGGCACGGTGGCGGGATGGGCCGAAGGCCTTCAGACAACCGCCCAGCAAAACCAGCGCGGCGAACAATACTGCACAAGTAATTCGGCCGCCGACCCCCGCGCCAAAGTTCCGAGCCGGAGCTCCAGGTGGAAGGGGGATCTCCGCTCAGCACTGCAAACCTCTTGCGGCTATCTGGAGCCCGCACATGTGCTTCCCCATGCCCGAGCATCTCCACATGTCGCATCCTGCTCACCGAGAAGCCAGCCTCCTGCATCACACGTCTTCTCTCCCGAGAGCACCGTGGACAAAATCACGACGGAAGGTTTTCACCAATCTGCGGCCTCTCGGGGCTCGCATCGGACCACGGGACCGTCAGGAACGACTCGGGATGACCAACCCGGCTCGGGATATCCAAATGATAAATCGGCGGTGGGTAAACCTCCATAGAGTAAACCACCCTTTAATGAAAACGGCCTGGGACCGAAACCGACGGACCTGGACTCGCGAAAACGACGGCCGCGACGCCCCCTTGCGAACCGAAAACGGCCGATTCGCTAACCGACGTGTCAGGGTAGGAGGCCTGTCCACCCCCGAACTAAACCACAACGCGACGCCCCCTCGCGAACCGAAAACGGCCAATTCGCTGACCGACGTGTCAGGGCAGGAGGTCTGCCCACTCCCGAATCAAACAGATCACGGCGTCGGGAGCCTCGGGCAGCGATAAGCCCTCGATAGCGAAACGTCACGTGCCTGGGCTGAGTGGGCTATCGGGCCCCTATCTTGATGAATGGGCAGTTGGGGGTCAGCGCTTCCATCCCTGAGCATATCCCTCCCCTAACTCGGCGGAGAGCGAGGGGGGGGAGTGAGAAGGAGATGGCCTTCTCAGAAGGCGGCGGGACTTCTCAGAAGTCCTCGCGCCTTCTGAGAGGCTTCCGGTGTCTTCGGAGAAGTTTTAGAAAACTTCTCAGAAGGCCGGGGGACTTCCAAGCCTTCTGAGAAGGCCCGAGCCCCTCCTCACTTCTCCCCAAAGGCTCGCCGCCGACTGACGCTGCTCCCGTGTCATCGAACGACGGTTGCGCGCGCCTCGAACTCCTCCCACGCGTTCACCTGCCGGCGGTCGAGGCAGTCCAGGTACTCCACCGTGTTGGCCAGCTCCTCGGGCGCAGCGCCGCTGGGGCGGAGAGCTCGATCCCAGGGCCACGATCCCTCGTAAAGTACACTGCGTCCGCTCTCCCTGGGCCCTTGTAAACTACGCTGCGTCCGCGCTCCCAGGGCCGCGATCCCTCGTAAATTACGCTGCGTCCGCGCTCCCACGGCCGCGCTCCATGGTAAATTACGTTTCGCCCGCACTCCGAGGGCGGCGAAGACGAGGGCGGGGACGAGGACGACCTGCGTACAGACCGGAGCGAGCAGGACGGCGAGCGCCAGCACCCTGAGAAGGTCTGGCTGGCGGCGGGCGACCGCGCGGCCGCTGAGGCAGTCCGGCCGCCTTGTGGCACGCCCTGTGAAGGTCAAAGGCGGAAGTTGGGGAACTCGCGAACGAAGCCGTAGGCTTGACCTCTGGATACAGGCATTAGGGCAGCCCGAGCGGTGGCGGAAGATGAGGAGGAGGAGGAGGAGGATGAGGATGAGGATGAGGATGAGGATGAGGATGAGGATGATGATGATGATGATGATGATGATGATGATGATGATGATGATGATGATGATGATGATGATGATGAGGAATGAGGATGAGGATGAGGATGA